TGCAATGATAATATCGCCGATAATCTGGTCATACATTTGCTGTCAATCATTGAGCAAATGGTTCCGCTGTTCACGGATTGCACCGATAAGTGAGCCATCGATTCATACATTGATTTTCATTGTCTATTATCTGAATATAAATCTCATATTATGTTTGACATACACTAGTGGTTAGGGATTTGATACCCAAGTATATATATGATAGATAGGTGTCGGACCACTTCTACCACTGCTTTCCCCACATGTCTTGAGGCACACCATTCTTGTGGTCACAGCGTATAAGACATCCGTAACTATAAACACACTATACTATAGAAAGTCTGCATTTTTGAGGTCAAACCCTTTGCCACACTATTATGCCATTCAAGCGATTCATTGAATTTGAATGCAAACTAAATCATAATCAATGAATAGTGTTATCAATCATTTTTGTTTGGCCATCAAAATAATATATTTTTCTTAAACTCTTTTTGCCATTCAAAATAGAAAATATAAATTTTTTTCTATAATTTTTGTTATTATATTTTTTTGCGGCGAATTGTGTGCTAATGGCTGGTAATAGTGTTGCTCTCTCTCTCCCTCCTTTCCCCTACCCTCCCCCTCCCCATCCGACCATCACCGCTGCATCCCTGACCCCAATCGATGCAATGATTTTTTTGTACCAATTTTTTTGTCTCATTTTTAAAAAGTATTAATAATATTTATGTTACAAAAATAATGTTAAACTGATGGATGACTACCAAACCAGATATTATTGGATATTATTATTATTATTATGATTTTATTATTAGTTGAGATTTTTTGATTTATATAAGTTACATGTATATTCATAATACTTGCCGCTAATGTACACGGCTAATACACCATTGAATTAAGATTTCGCTAACACAACTTTCAAATCCGGTATAAAATGGGCTCAAAATGTGTATCAAATAAATATAGTTTGATGTATATTTTGTTGCGAGTTTGAGATGATGTTAAATATTAAATATTACTATTTCTTTAGTATTTGCAGTTTCCTTAAACCCAGAATTTGATTTGTATTTTCATTCAAATCCCTTACTTTGCATGCATTTTACGTACGATATTCTGTAAAGCCTTTTGATTACGGCTTTTAAGGGATTATACGCGAAATAATTGTTACGAAAAATAAGATTAATCACGAATTTGGCGATAAATAAAACTATTATACAATATTATTTTTTTCGTTGCATTCATTCATTCATACATTCATTTGTTTTAATCGTTTTATTTATATTTATTCCGTATTTATAATAAATTAGCGCAAAAAAAGATTTGACATTGATTTTGCGAGCCATGAATTATAGGTTTGGTGTTAATGAAAACGGATTTGAATATGTAATATATTTAATATTATTTAATTTAATGTGTTTTTTGTGTGTCTATTCAATAGACTCTATTGAATCGCTATTATCGTTAATCTCATAGACATTTACCCCGCTTATGCACAATAAACCGCTATATGAATGAGCGATTAAAAATTAATGAATTAATAAACGGTTAAAAATAGCGGCGATTTTTTTCTCCCTTTTATTTGCACTCTAATAAACACAAACTGATTATTAATTTGTCTGAAAATTATTTTTCAAAGCCTTTTGTTTTTGCCATTTCTTGATCATCGCGTCTCTCAACCATTCATTCATTCGCTGCATAATTGTGTTAAACGGAAGTCATGTCTTATATAATAATGAAAAATAATAAAAAAAACTTTTCTCCGAGTCAAACATTAATTGAATAGTAAATAGTTTATGAAAAATTCATTGCTAATTATCAATTTTCCAGCGTTTGTTTTGTTTGTTTTTTTCCCCAATTATACATTTAAAGTGGATTTTGATTGTGTTTTTCCACGTTTTGCTTGTGTATAGAGTGGAGCAGACCGTGGGTTCATTGATCAACATTTATAGGTCTTCGGCGAAAAGGGATGCCATTCGCCAGAAATACTTAATCACGACGACTGTCATAATTACCTATCATTCAGAAATGGTATTTGAATTTAAATAATTTTTTTTAGTTTTATAAATACGCTTTTAATTCGCGTCCAATTAATAGTCCAATTATCCGTTTAAATCGTATGTAAATTACTGTAACACTCGCGCCTTCTCTCTCTCTCTCTCTCTCTCTCTCTCTCTCTCTCTCCCGACACTGAACTTGTCATTTGAATACTCAAAGAGTTTTGGAGACTAAAAATTGTTGTTTAATTGTTTGTGAGAAAATTGATTCTCGCCGTAAAGAAAATGATCGAAACACTCGACGATTAGAAACAATTATATTTCAACACAACTGTCTATTCCGATGATTTATAATGAGTTCATATATTTATGCTAATTCTCGCACACATTCACATTCATTCGCTAACCATTCGGGTGATTGCGACCGCTTTTTGATGGGACACTAATCGGTATTTATTGTCTATTGTCTCTCACATTCACTCATTACAGGCAGAAAACAATTGGTCTTTAAAGCAATTATTCGATAGCGTTATTCAACAGCTAATTAAAAATGCAGAAAAGCCTAAAACAGTAATTGGTTTCGCGTCGACTGAATGCTTGCGAGAGATCGGGAGCACAACACCTGTAAGTGATATCTTTCACTCAATTAATAACCATTTATTGACTAAATTTTTGTTTATCGTCGTTTCGATGACTTTATTTTTGCTTTTTTTAGTCGAAAATAGTTTTCTCGTCTCTTTTTTTTGACGATTAAACGGTTATAAATATGTCTCATTATTATCATTGCTTTTTCATTTCATTTCATTGCCCTCGCAATTAGGCTCTACTCGAGTTCGCCTACAATCGCCGGCAACTGGAAAGGGATCAGTCGGTGGTAATGAGCCCGCTGTTGATGAGCGCCGGCGTCGCCACCGGCAAAGACATCGCCCATATTGTCGACAGTTTGCCGACACTGACGCCCATCCAGTTGTACCACACTCTGTGCCAACTGTTCGACGCGATTCGGGCCCACAAGTACCCGGAGCTCCTGTCGCCCATGATATTCAAGCCTTATTTGTTACAATTGATAGTCAGCTGCGAAGTACACGCCTTTCATTTGGCACTCGAGTTGTTATTATCGTTCGGTTTGGAACTGTTCTCGACGGTAGAGGAACGGCAACTGTTCCGGCAATTAGTAGTCGTAGGCACACACCCCTCCCTACCCATAGCGCATCGCCTGCTGGTGTTGGACTTCACCAAAAGTATTGTCACAAAACTCAAGTCGACGGCCGCGGCCGCCATCGACTGGTCGGGCCTTCAGATAACGAGTTTCGACGGACCCGACACTCAGGAGAAGAAACTCCATATACTTAACGAGAGTCCCATTGAGAGCCAGAATTTGTTGATGAGTTTGAAGCCACTGAAGGCCCGGAGTCTGGAGTCCAACACCAGAGCCACGAATTCCTTCTACCGGACGCTGCATTCAATTGTCTCCAAACGGCCGGACATTATGAATGAAATGCAAGACCTCTTGATATCTGTTATATTCAAAGCGCCCGACCCTAACATTAAGAGATCCATTGCATTGTTTAACGCATACCCAGTGTTAGCGAAGGGAACGACACATAAATTGATACAAAACTTAACGAATCTGTCGGTAACCGAAACGTTCAAATCGTTGCCGGAATTCACGGCTTTCCTGACGGCTTTCGAGTGGACTTTCAAACAAAAAGACTTAGACTTAAGTGAAACACAATTAGTATTTCTGTTGACTATTATCCACAACAACAGTAAGCGGTGGCGGGAGTCGTGCGCTCAGGCGCTGGACTGTTGCACAGCTGTTCTCTATCACCAGACAATCAGCGTATCCGTCAAACAGACACTCCTCCAGAGTCTTCAGTGGCTACTGAGCGACCGAAACAACGATATATCGATCACTAGTTTGGCGCAGATCTACATTTTGGCGTTGAATACGTTGGCCGACGACGCGGACATCAAACGCGTGTTCAATACGACACACCTATCCGACAGCGGCGACCGCGATATCATGCAAGACCTGTCGGCCGACGCGCCCTTCACTATAACCCGGGTATCGACGGCTGAGTCGACGCGACGAAAGTTTACGTTAACGGAAATGCCGTTCACTTTGGACATCGAGTTCGAGGTCGACATCAAAGAGCAATTCAGGCGCCGATTCGATCGCGTGTTTTGTCTCATACTGTCGTTCGACGCCATCGGCGGTCATATCGCCGAAGAATACGAGATACCGATCCTGAGGGCCGACGAGCGCCGGCCGGTGCGCCTCTCTTTGCGGTCGGCCGTACACAAGCCGTTCGAGTTGGCGGTGTCGGCGCTGTTCACGGACTCTGACGGCACGAACTATCGCTGCCAACGGTTCCAGACGCACGCCATTACGCTCCGGGATATACTGTTGCCGATCGGCGTCGACCCCCGTCACGACCCCCCAATCGGCCAACTCTGCCAATCGGTGCTCAAACACCCGGACGCCATGCAAACGGTGCTCTGCGTTCGCCAGTTCCGGTCGATCGACGCCTTTTTGGCGCACTTTGATTGGCTCAAGAGTTTCGTCATCAACGACGACACTGTCGCTGGAGACGAGCGGCGGCTGATCTGCGGTACGGCACCCGACCGGCTACTGGTGGCCGCCCTCAAGATGGTCAACAATTTTGTCAATTTATTCATTTACACAAATAGCTACGAATTATTGCCCACTATTTACTACGAGTTGGTGCCCCACGACACTACCGGCGCTGCCATTGACACACCAAACGGCACTAATTTATTGATAGTTTAGCTGACAATTTATTCATTTACACAAATAGCTACGAATTATTGCCCACTATTTACTACGAGTTGGTGCCCCACGACACTACCGGCGCTGCCATTGACACACCAAACGGCACTAATTTATTGATAGTTTAGCTGTGATTTTGTTGTATTTAAACGGAGTTTTTTATATTGAATTAAATTATATTGTATTTCGTTATGATCACAGTTTCTATTAAAATATATACTATTTTATGAATTGTGGATTTGATTGGAGGGCTAAATGGTTGGCGGTTAACAACAGTCTCCACCGATATTACCGACGAAAATAAGAGATTTGGGTTTACACTACAAAATAAAATCTAGAAATCAAACTTAAATTATGTGAAAATATTTACTTTTATAATTTACAAACTCATTGACCACCGCGTAAACAGTGAGTAAAATAAACAAATTAATTATGAAAATTGTTACCAAAAAATATACATAATATAAATGAAACTAAAAAATTAAATAAACTCCTAATGGGATACGGAGGACAGGCATTCATTTGAGGGCAAACATGTAGACCGGGTACAGGCCTTTAGGCATTTTATACTGCTTTCGTTCGCACACCACCTCCAGGCCGGCCCTCTTGAAGATGTCTAACATCAGCCAATGGGGTCGCGTGACGAATATATTAGTATTATTATATACACATTGAGTGCCAGTAACCTAATGCCAGTGCTATGTCTTAATCGCTATATTAATCTCACATATTGTGTCCATTCATGTCATGTGTCTCTTATCTATTGTCTCAAAGTATTTCTCATTTGAAAAGTTTTTTAATTAATTAATTAATTAAGTATTTGTTTTTCATTAATTAATTTTAAATATCTCGCACCTTTTTCTCTATCGCTTATACGAAACGACAAAAAACTTTTGATATATTTTTAACGACAAAACAAAAAACTTTTTTTTCTAAACACAAAACAAATTAGTGTTTGATTTTCAACGCAAACAAAAACTTTTTGAATTAATAAATAATTAATTTTATAATAAATTTTATAATATTTGTGGATATTTTTGTGGTAAATACAAACAGATGACATCCAAAACAATATGTTTTTTAATCAAAAACTATATTTTTATCAATTAACAAGATAATATTTTTCACCCACTGGAAAATGAACTATTAATTTGTTTTGTATATTATTTAATAAATCTATAATTAAAATATAATAAAAAGTTTAAAATGAACCTGATGTTTTATATTATTAGGTGACGTGAAACAGTGTATCGATTTTGTTATCAAAATAATTATCCGAAAAAAATCTAATAATAATCACAAATAATTGCAATAATAATGAGTAAAGCGAGAGACAAGTCCAACGATAGGTCTATAGTCTTAGGCGGCAGTCAATGGTTTGGCAGATATTTGAGTATTTGTCAAACGATTTACGAGAGAAATAGCGATGAAAACGACTTATACCTCGATATCCTGAAAGACTTATGCAATGATAATATCGCCGATAATCTGGTCATACATTTGCTGTCAATCATTGAGCAAATGGTTCCGCTGTTCACGGATTGCACCGATAAGTGAGCCATCGATTCATACATTGATTTTCATTGTCTATAATCTCAATATAAATCTCATATTATGTTTGACATACACTAGTGGTTAGGGGTTTGATACCCAAGTATATATATATATATATGTATATATATATGATAGTTCTACCACTGCTTTCCCCACATGTCTTGAGGCACACCATTCTTGTGGTCACATCGTATAAGACATAAGACATCCGTAACTATAAACACACTATACTATAGAAAGTCTGCATTTTTGAGGTCAAACCCTTTGCCACACTATTATGCCATTCAAGCGATTCATTGAATATGAATGCAAACTAAATCATAATCAATGAATAGTGTTATCAATCATTTTTGTTTGGCCATCAAAATAATATATTTTTCTTAAACTCTTTTTGCCATTCAAAATAGAAAATATAAATTTTTTTCTATCATTTTTGTTATTAGATTTTTTTTGCGGCGAATTGTGTGCTAATGGCTGGTAATAGTGTTGCTCTCT